TAATTTTGTCATTTTTGTAATTAAGCTAAATTTAAACAATATTTGTCAACTTTTTTGGGAGAATTTGTAAACGCTGTTGTTACCAACCATAACATAATAAATTAAATTAGGCAACCAGATTAGCCTAAAGTTCCTAGTCGATCAGTGGCGTACTTTTTGGTAGGATATAGGTTATTATAAATTATTTTTAGTCTTTGGAATTTAGAAAAAATTTTAGGTGCTTCTTTATGGACCCTAAGGAACAACACATTTTAATATATAACATTAATTACATAACACCCTGTATAAAAAAATAAATAAATGATTGTAAAGATTTGATGTAACTTACCACGTGCATCCTAAATAATATGCGATATCGATATCAATATCGTATCGAAACAATCCTTGCTATAGCTATAGAGAAGCTTACTTTATATAAATCTAAACTTAATTAAGATCTTAAGATTCTGAAGCACAAAGATAACGTCCATGTTTGTACATTAGGGTGTCCCCGAAATGTGAACGATTTTTGGTTGTCATGGTTTTTTCATAAAATTCATTAATTTATTCCTGGCTTCGGCCAGTGGTGTTACAAATCGAGGGGAGAATACTTAGAATAAGAAGAATATCATAAATCGTTCTATTTTTTTTAATAATATTTTAACAAAAATTAATATAAACAATATTACAAATAAATTAACTTCAATTTGGTTTTGTACAACAATATTAACAAGTAGGCAAATAAAAAATAAACATAACATATTGCTCAAGAAAATTAGTCTTTAAGTGAAATAGCTGCAGATATGTCTTCCCAAAAACTTTCAACAGCATTCCGTAGTTTATTTCGGTTTGCTGACCTTCCGTTGATAAGATTTTGTAACTATAAAACCCCGCAAGTTTTTAATGGGGTTTAAGTCGGGACTTCTAGCTGGCCATGGCAAAACAGTTATGTAGTTGTTGATTGCCCACTCTGTAACCACGCGAGCTGTGTGAACTGGTGCATTGTCCTGTAATATAATATTTATTAGAATCATTTTTGTATACTAAACAGTTTTCTAACATGTTGGAATATAATATTTTCTGGAAACACATGTCCAACTGAAGGTGGCATAACGTTGTCCAAAATCGTCGAATAGTGCTCAGCCGTTAATCTACCATTAATTTCCCAACATATTCCCGCACCATGGACGCTTATCCACGCCCAAACATTTATGGAAAAGTGTCCACTATTTAAGGTTCTTAAGGTGTAGTTCTCAAATCTTGCGTCTCTTGGACGATATACACGCAGCCTTCCATTATTGCAAGATTGAAACGTTTTTTTATCAGAAAATAAAACATTAATCCATAATTTAGATAGTCATTGGCGAACTGGATTCTCCTGCTCATATTTTCGTCAGTTAAAAAAACCTTATGAGCAGCAGCAGTTTTTTAAGCCAGCTTGTTTCAATATTTTTTTATCTGTTCGAAGAGTACTGGAAATTGGGTATCTTCTCGGGCCTTAACTGCGCTTTTGAAAGGATTTTGCCTATAGGCAAAAATTATAATATGTGCGACAAGAGCATCGTGTTCATTTTCGTTGGAGATTTTACTTACACCTTGCCTGATAGGTGTTCTCAATCTTTGTTGTTCTTGCCAACGTTTCTTGATATAAAATAGGCAGCTTTTACTGACATTTAAATCTGCAGCCACTTCACTTAAAGACCAATTTTCTTCTAGTTTGGCTATTGCCTTGGTCCTCTGAGCCTCAGTTAATTGGGGTGGCATTTTTGATATTGCAATTGACAACTATTATCAAATTTGACAACTACCGACGATGCTGATGCAAAGCCCATATTACACGATTAAATTTTGCCATTCACATTTCGGGGACGCCAATTGTACGTTATTTACCAAGTTGGCTGTTTTCACTTGGGTATCATTTAAATTGTTAGTTTAAAGCACAATCCACACAACAAGGTCTGTTCGATCTCGTATTAAAAATACTAAAAATTTCTACACATTCACATTTTAAATTAGATATAAAACAATTAAAATTTCTTCAAGATCAGGGCCGGATTAAGACAATGTTTAAATAACCTAAAAGAGAATTTTACCTATAACATTTCGTCCTTGATACTGCAAAAGGTCACTTTGACGCACAGACCACCAAAACAAATGGACGGATTTGTTTACGTTTATACCGTCAGATATTCGTCTATTTGGTTTGGTTTAGGAGTAAAGCATAGTTTCACATTCTAAACACCGTCGAAAGAAACACGGCTTCCAACGTTGTCAGAAGTATAATAAACATTAATAATTACCAGTAATTCGTTTGAATAATAAAAAGGATTTGTTCATCATTTTCTTTAGATATTTTTCTCTATTTAATAATTATTAAAATTAAATATTAACAACGTTGGTAAATTCGTCATATTTGACAGCATAGAAAAAGGTTATGTTCTGTGGGTTGACAGCTTGTTGTTTTGTGTTTTCGTTTGTTTATTTCTATCGTGTTTAAGTTAATTATGGAGTTTAAATACATTATTTTTTACTAAAAATAACAATACATGGAAATATCGTTTGTAAGTACCTACCTACTTATTATTTTTTTAATCACAATACGTCACTGGAAGAAAACATAAAATTCTATCTCTAATTTGACGCTTAGACTGTGACCGTTTGTTGACGTCACTGGAAGAAAACATAAAATTCTATCTCCAATTTGACGCTTAGACTGTGACAGTTTGTTGACCGCAAACAAATCATTGTTATTGAATGGCAATGCGCCGTCCATTTGTTTTGGTGGTCTGTGCTTTGACGCCTTTCTGCACAAGGGAACCAACCCACAAAAATAAAAAAAAAACGAGATAAATTTCTCTTCTGCAGAAAGGCGTTCAAGTGACACGACCTTTTGCATTATCAACGACGATTTACAATTTTTTTTCCTGCATTTAAAATCGGGAAATATTCAAAATTTATTTTATTGACTTCTTCTACTTCTATAGATAAAAGAGCTAGATTCGCAGTCTTCTCGTCTACTATAGTACTATAGGCAACTGCTTTTAAAATAAAAAAGGGTATTACACGTTTGATAATTGTAATTATTTATTTTAATTGATTATTTCCCTCATTATAATATGAACCAATCAAAAGCCTTAAATTTTCGAATAAATTTCGTTTAAATAAGCGATTAAATCACTAGAACTATTTAACAGCGATTAAATTTTAGCCTCCTTATTGAATTTTTGTTTACGATTTTATGGTGTTAATTACAAGTTTTAACAAACATTAAAAAAAAAAACTATAAAAAATAAGTTATCTAGTTTACGAAATATCAATTATTACTTATTACATACCTTAAATTAATAGAATTTAAAAAAAAATATTTATAAATTTTGACACATACGTCAGATTTTATGAATTGTCAAATAGTTTCCTTTAATTCGAGAAATAATCTAGACGTATATCACTCAACCTATAAATTAAATCTGTCAAACTATGCTCAGTAAGTTTTTTATTTGATTTTTCTTTTTGGAAAAACCAAACAAAAAACTACTGAGCCTAGTTTAACCGATTAAATTCATAGTTCTCGTGATATAATATATGATTAATTTTAATATTCAACCTACTTAAAAAAAATTGAGCCTTCTGCCTGGGCGCCTATTGGCTTTGCGGCGCCCTAGGCCATGGCCTAGGTTGGCCTATAGGTTAATCCAGCACTGAAAAAAAAATAAATTTTTGTTTTAAAATTATCATTAATTTTTTGAACAATTATTAAGAGCGTATGATAAAAAAAAATTACATTACATACAGAATAAATATCGGAAAATTAAACAAAATTATTGGTAAAAACGGTATAAATGAATTTTGATCAAAATTTACGAAATAAATTTTTGACGCCAATATCAAAGTTTCTTTATCCAAAGGGATCAGAATAGAAGTAGAATCAACAATATTTGGTATGGTATATTAAATATAATAAACAAGAAAAAAATCAATTTCCAAAAAGTTTTTTTCTTGTTTAAAATTCTTTTTAGGCTATAAACTAACAATTTAAACGATACCTAAGTGAACACTGCCAACTTGTAATAATAATAATAATTATTATTATCCTTATTATTATAATCCTTTATTTATGCTTAAAAACAATACAAAATTGTGTGCACAAGTCGGGAACATAAATTAATAAATATATAATTATCAACTACACTAATTATAAATAAAAGAATAAATACAACAAAACTCGTTGCATAATAAAATAAAGAATACAACAAATATCTATAAACAAGCAAATAAAAGAATTAATAAAAAACATTAATAAATACAATACATTACTATCACAATATTCCAAAAACTCTTTCGTGCTATAAAAACAATGCTCTAACAAAAACAATTTCAAAGAAGATTTCAATTTTTTTAGAGAATATTTTTTCCAACTAGGTGGAATCTTGTTGTAAAATATCACCGATTGGTATTTAAAAGACTGCTGCATTTTAGAAAGCCTGCATTTTGGCAGAGCTATCAAGCCTCTATTTCTAGTATCATGACCATGATGATCCCCCTGGCACTGATAGTCCTCAGAATGAGCATACAAGATACAGTCCAAGATATACTGACCACTAAAGGTCAAAATCTTCAGATCTTTAAAAATTGGCCTACAGTGATCAGTATATCCAGCACCATAAATAGTTCTCACAGCTTGCTTCTGCAAAAGGAAAACTTTGTAAGCATTAGAAGAATTTCCCCATGCCAAAGTAGCATAAGATAAATGGCTATGAAAAACTGCAAAATATGTCATTCTGAGTACACTTCTCGATAATAGACTACGAAGTTGTCTGAGCAAAAAGATGCTTTTTGACAACTTACTTAGTAAACTTAAAACATGTGCCTTAAAGTCCATTGTCCATTGTATATACGACAGTCATTGTAAAAAATGCGAATCCACACAAAAATTAAATTTGAATATATTAAAAATTAAATTTGAATATATTCCTATAGGGAACTAAATAAAATTCAAAAAAATTATTTAATTTATTGGGGGTTAATATGTTAATATAGTAATATTAAATAAAAACAATTTACAAGTTTATATAATTTGCCAAAATATTATCTATAGGATCAAATACACAATGCTTCATATTTGAACACATGAAAAGGTCCAAGTGAGCCACTTTACCGTGACAGCCGCTATTGTTCGGCAATATGGTGTATGATTTTTCAGTTTCAAGCATATTAAATGTTGTTTTTGCATCCTTAAAAACACAAAAATTTGGTTATGCAGATCTATATTAATAATAATACGGTATTACCTCGCATGAACAAACATAATCATTAATACCACAAAAAATATCAACCCTTATATTGATATTTTTTAGGTTAAAGGCAGGTGGGTTAATTTTTCCATACACCTGTAAATTTTTTAACGGTCCATAACTATAATCAGCAAAGTATCCCTTTTGTTGAATCATTTGTAAATAGTTTATAAATACTTGACTGCTAATGGGTTCGTTACCTCTTCCGGTAAACTTTGGAAGACTATACTAAAAAATAAAAATAGTTTTTAAACCCTAAAACAATGACAAAAGTTTTTTATATTATGAACTCGAGACATGAAAAAAATTCAAGCTATGCGAAAACTGCATAAATATATGGTTCAACCATGATTTAATTCTGATGAAATTAATTGGACCATGTGAAAATTAAAAACTTACCTTTAAATTAATGTTATCACTTTTTCCAAATAGGCTGTTAATCAATAATTCACAAAATGGTTCGACTAACTTATATTGACACGCCGTCTCGAGACTACTGTCGATATAATTTATTTTAAATAAACCAAAGTTAGTCTAAAAAAACCTTTAGAAAACATTTCAAAATTATATATATTTAGTTATATTTACCCTCACCAGATCTGGGATGTTGGATAAAATGGATAAGTAAATTGTTTTGGTATGGTACAAGTTAATTGCAGGTGCATGGGCAATAATGCCTTTTAAATTTTTTGAAGCATCTTCTGGATATGCAGAGGCATACACAAACAATGCACTTGTCCCCAAAGAATGTCCCATGGTGATTAGTTTTTGCCCAGTTTTCTCCACTATCATCTCCACCACTGCTTTAACATCGTTTTTTCCTATTTTACCATAGCTTAAAATATATTAATGACATATGAAAATAGTATTCTAAAAATTTGGAAAGACCAAGTTTTATTTATTCCAAAACGGCATGTCCTATACTGAATACTACAACAAATATCCTACCTAAAGTCCCAATATTCCGCATCATTTGGTGTCAAACTTATATGACTGGAGAATACAGTACCTCGTACATTTGGAAGCCAAACATCATAGCCAGCATCAGCATAATAAAATGCTACAAAATAACTGCATGAAAAATGTAATGCGCTCGTTGTGGTTAATATACCCAGAGAATCTTTTTCATTAACAACAAAGCATCTAGCGTTTCTATCAAATGCGTGCCATATGACCAACGGAGGTCCAGTAATATTTTGCATATTAGTTCCAACGCGCGAAATTCTAAAATTTTGTAGTATGTATCCATCATCAGTTTGAACCGTAATATTTTCCATTTGGTATCCATATCTTTTTACTATTGATTCCTTAAAAAATAATTTTTTTTAAACATAACATTATTTTGATCAAAATTCTTACAAAGGAATCGCAAATATCTGGATCATTAGAACATTGGAGTTCTTGGAAAAAAAATATCACGACGCACAATATAGTAATTGAGATTTTTACAAACATTTTAACCTGCACACAAAATGTCAATTATTTCTTACAATGTCTACAATGCAATTATGAAATGTAGGATATGAATAACAATATGATATTGTTTTAAATGTTAAGGTAGAACCGTAAACAATTGTTAATATAATTAGTGATATTGGCGACATTTTATGGCAAAAACAGAAAAACAATCGGGTTTCGGAAATATTCATAAAAAAAACATTATTTTTTAAATGTGACACCGCGGTGCACCGTGCATATTTTGAAAAACAATTTAGTTTGGAACAAAAAATTATTATTCCACAACTACCCCAAACCTAAAAACAAACTTGAACTTTATGATTGTTGTTATCAATGGTGAGTAAATAACTTTGGACACGGTGTATATCTTGGATATATTAAAAAATGAACTAACAATTAAATCATCAACGTCTAGATCTTCATTACATCTTGAATTTTGTATAAGAAATAAAAAAAAGCATAAACTCAAAATTTTACCAAGCATTTTGATCGAATATAAGTAATTTATAATATTTAACTTAATATTTATACCTAAATACATATATAGCTTTTATAGTAAAAAAAATTATTTATAACATACATTTTAAGTGGGGCTATTTGAATTTTAAAAATTATATTAGATTTTTTTACATAAGGTTACTTTTTGTATGCCTACAAGTTTTTAAAATTGTGTTAAGTAGTAAATTAGAACTCACACAGTAACGATGCATGTTTTAAATACATAAATATAATTATATAAATTTTATACATTCATAAAATTTTTAATTGGACATAAAAAATAAAAACCCTTTTTTATACTCCCACATTTAAAACACCCATTTGTTCTCATGACCTTTCTTATACAATTTTATAGGTACATAGGTAATAAACTATATTAAGCTATTTAATCTATGCACTAAAACAATTTAGATAAGTTATAATGTTAAATTATTTTTTAAAAGGATTGTTGCGCGTACCAGGTGGTACCTTCTTTTTTGAATATTACACAGTACAACACGATTTTCCTCTCATGATAAATTTTAAAAGATTTTAAAAATAAAGGTTAAAAAAACGTACCCGTGTCTCACCGTTTCTCGAAATTACGTCATTTATTTTATTTACACAGCCATTCTTATTATTTTAACCTAAACAGATTTTTAATTCTCTATTTTGTTATAAATAATTTTTTTTCTTCAGATATTTTATGTTTTTACGTAATACAAAAAAATTATACTCAAAGAAAATAACAATTTTATTTTTTTTAAGTAAAAAAAATATTTCTGGTTTTAATTCTTGATTTTTTTTTTAATAAAACAACAGATTTGTTTTTATCTTATATTAAATATATGTTGGAAACAAATCTTGACCTTTTGCTTTCGAATCTATAGTGGTATCACAACCTAAAAATACCACTTGATATACAGGATGTTTCACATTCGGGGTCCATTGGAAGTTTCTGGAGAACGGAAAAAATATAGATTTGAAATTTAAAAGCTTTATAATCCATTAAGTCTATTTTTTTAAATATTTTGAACAAAATGCAACTTCCGGTTTGACCGGAAGTGACATCAACTTTGTTATTTCAAATAGAACCTCCATATATTTTTACATTTTGAAATTCTACATAAAATTCTGAGTAAAATTACTATAAAATGTCCTATACCTAGTCTATTTTCAAAATCTGTAGAAATTTTTCATGGGAGGGAAAATAATCAAATTTTGTCGTACTGTGTTATATGTCTTAGTCTATGCATTTCTAAAAAACCATGTCACGAGGGTGGTGAAGAAATTTAATCCACCATCTTGGGGCGTCTGCCATATTCAATTTAAAATAATTTTACTTAAAAAACCCTTTCATTTGATTCCTATGACAAGGAGGCTGTGAAGAAATAGGTAATCCACTGTCTTAGAGCGGCGGCCATTTTAAACAAATTACAATATTTAGTATAGTGGATTGTATTTTTTGGGGTGAAAGTACTGGGGTGAAAGAATATTTTTGTTACCGTTTTAATAGGTTTCAATATATATAAAAGGCTGTTTAATTTAATTAGAAGAAACTTATACCACATCCAATTAATTTTAATTTTAAATAATATAAATAAAAGACTTGATGATTTAATTTGATAGTAATCATATTGTTATTACACTAATGCTAAATAAAAACAATTTACAAGTTTATATAATTTGTCAAAATATTATCTATAGGATCAAATACACAGTGCTTCATATTTGAACACATGAAAAGGTCCAAGTGACCAACTTTACCCTGACAGTCGCTATTGTTCGGCAATATGGTGTATGATTTTTTAGTTTCAAGCATATTATATGTTGTTTTTGCATAATTTTGTTCGTAATATCAATAAACACTATTTATCGAAATTTATTTATTAGAACAATGAATATAATCGTTAAGTCAATTATTAGGGGTTCTTGGATGATTAACAGGGTTATTGGTTTAACGAATTACTGTTCATTACTTTTTTCCTACGAAGTCAGTAACTTTTTTTACTGACCCAATGAATCGTGTTCATTGGGCCAATAAACATAGTACATCAAGCGCGTTTACGTAAATTGATAAACAAAATTCGTTAGATTAATGAATACTGGGCATTAATCAATGAATGCATTCGTTATATCAATGAATCAGTTCGATAAATAAATGAACGTGTACATTGGTTTAAAGAAATATTTTGATTGATATTACAAACAATTGTACGCCAGGACAATGAATTCAATTATTAACTGATATAAGGGTTTTTCTAAGCAAATAAATGCATTTATTGACTCAATGAACATTTATTGACTGATGAATACATTCGTTGGGCCAATAAATGCGTTTATTAAGCTGATAAACAGTACATAAAATATAAGAGATTTTATTGGTTAAAACAAAAATTGCCGGGACATAGGTAAATTTCACAAAAGACACTATAAGATTTATCCAGTCTAGTCCCTAATTACCTAGGCGAAGGAAGGTCTCGTCGCAAAGGATATAGAGGTTCCCTCGCGATACTTATTATTTACGCAAATCAATTTCTTTGGGTTTTATATAAAGGTGAAGTTTAAGTTGATATTCTGGTTTAAAATTCCAAAGGGTAAGTACATTTCAATTTACATATTTCACTGCTTTTTTGTCATAATCGTTTTGCACTTTCGTTAGGGATTAGACATTTTAAGCGCCAAAAGGTTGTTTGTTAATCGTTGCAAAATCTATGTAAGGATACAATTTTGATAGCGGAGACGAATTATTCTGTTGAATCTCAACTATCCAGTTCAAATACCATTATAGGGTATTTTAAATCAATTGATCAACCAACTAAAAATATTCCTATTATTGCTCACCAGATCGACAAGAACATCTTAAATGATGAATCTAAAAAACCCGGTACCTTCATCATAGATGAATATCAAAAAAATATTGATAAATTTGTCTTGGCCTTACACAATAACAATATTTTTTCTCGAAAGGATGTGTTCAATATTCTTAAAAACTTGGATTCTTTTTTGATCAAAACTTTTAGAAAACTTTTGTTAAATCAATATAAATTTGTAGTTCCGGAAACTGACGGAGAAGCATGCCTAAGGGCATGATAACTATTGGAAGACATGGTACAGATTAAACGATCTAGAAATGGCAGAAAACTGTTGACAAATCTTGAAAAAATTGTCTCAATACAAAATTCTAAAGGGATATCGATTGGTACGAAGTATGAATTAAAAATCGAATGTTTAGTAATATTACGAGATGATTTATTTTAGATTGATATGGATTTTGAAGGAGCATTTTCCAAGAGCGACTGCTTACTTAGCCATTGGGAGGAATGCTTTTAGAGGATTTTTGATTTTTTGAAAGTTCCAGGTAACCTTAAAGAAAAGACTACAAAATGTTTGCTGGACAACATTGAGGGTGAAAGTCATTTCAATATTTTCAGATGGGTGTTATGCGGCAGTATTATGGGCCCTACAACACTACAAATTAGTGTATAAAAATATGTAATGGTATATTTTCACCAACTGTTCATCTTTTCCATTCCATAAACAAGGCAAACATGTTAAATGCATAGTTTTTGACAATAAATGTTTATTTATTTTTAATGTATTCTTTTATTAAGTAGTGTAGTGTATTAAGTAGTGTAAATAGTGTCGTTAGATTAATGAACGAGTTGACTGAATGATTGAGCTAATGAATGTGTTCATTGGATCAATAAACCCGTTTATTAGATCAATGAATACGTTCGTTGATTTTATGAACAAAAATAATTGAACTTATGAATGTGTTCATAGATTAATAAACCCGTTTATTGGATCAATAAATATTTTCATATAATCAATAAACCTGTTAATTGAATGAACGAATATCTTGATTGCATCAATAAATAAGTTCATTGATTCTACAAACATATCCATCAATTTGATAATAATATTTATTAAATCAATGAATATTTTTATTAACCCAATTAAAAAAGTTAATTAAGTGATAAAATTATAAACATCGACTAATGTACAAGTATTCGTTGGCCCAATTAACTCGTTTATCGGACGAAAAACGATAAACAGAGTTCGTTAAGCCAATAACATTTTTATTAATATTACGTACCTTTTTGGTTCAGTGTACCACATCCAATTAATTTTAATTTTAAATAATATAAATAAAAGACTTGATGATTTAATTTGATAGTAATCATATTGTTATTACACTAATGCTAAATAAAAACAATTTACAAGTTTATATAATTTGTCAAAATATTATCTATAGGATCAAATACACAGTGCTTCATATTTGAACACATGAAAAGGTCCAAGTGACCAACTTTACCCTGACAGTCGCTATTGTTCGGCAATATGGTGTATGATTTTTCAGTTTCAAGCATATTATATGTTGTTTTTGCATCCTTAAAAACACAAAAATTAGGTTATGCAGATCTATATTAATAATAATACGGTATTACCTCGCATGAACAAACATAATCATTAATGCCACAAAAAAGATCAACTCTTATATTAATATTTTTAAGGTT